TTCCAAAGAGCTATAGTGTAAACACTTGAAGGTTTCCTTGCCTCAAGTACCACACCACGTTGAAGGATACAACTTTTTGATCAAACTTCTTGATTAAAAAGGGGGTTGGTCAACTTTCTTACAAGTTGATCTAGCAAGTCCTATTGTTCGGATCTTGCAGTTGTTGAAGAAGCGTGACCTTCGAAGGAACAACAAAGCCAGCACGAGTGCAGTAGCAACATCGGTCTTGCGAAGATATACCGTGCAGAAATTCACACAAGTGTAATTGTTGGTTCATTATTCAACAACCAACTACATAGTGGATTTTGAGGACGTAGAAGGATTACCCCACCTTCGAACCTCGTTAAAGTTTGCGTGTCTCTCTCTTTTATCTTTACTCTTACTAGCAATTATATTAACTGTGAAAACTGACTCATCCATATTGATTACTGCTCACTCTACCCACCAAATTCCGCACACAATCTAAAGTTCACAAGAACTCTAGATTAACACTTATTTTCACGTTTTCAAAAGAAACGAAAAAGATTTTAAATCTGTAACAAAGTCTATTCACCCCCCCCCCCTCTAGACTTTGTATCTCACCACTTTGGGACCACCAGCGCTGTTGGAGTGTTGTACAGCGCTGTTGGCTCAAGCTGGTTGACGGTGTTTCCTTCAACAGTGCTGTTTGTCTTCTGGACAGCGTTGTTTGCATGGTTCCCCCTGATTTCATGAACGGGGTACCTACAAAAAATAAAAAGTTCTCTAACGCTCAAGTTAGTAAACAATTAACAAGTGAAAATGCACAACTTAGATCATCGTTGAGTCAAGGATTCCGAGTTCACTTCGAATGCGGAAGAACGACTCTTTCTCTAAAGGTTTTGTGAACATGTCGGCTAATTGGTTCTGTGTTTCAACAAACTCAATTTTGACATTACCTTTGAGAACATGATCTCTAATGAAATGATGCCTAATGTCAATGTGTTTCGTCCTTGAATGAAGAACGGGGTTCTTCGTCAAGCTAATAGCGCTAGTATTATCACAACGAAGGGGAACGTGAATGATACTTAGGCCATAGTCCACGAGTTGTTGCTTCATCCAAAGGATTTAACACAACAACTACCGGCGGCTACATTTTCCGCTTCGGTTGTGGATAACGCAACACTGACTTGTTTCTTACTAAACCATGAGACTAGAGAGCTACCAAGTAAGTGGCAAGTCTCACTCGTACTTTTACGGTCCAATTTGCAACCGGCAAAGTCCGATTCGGAATAACCAACGAGATGACATAAAGAGCCTTTTTGGATACCACAGTCCAACGTTTACCGTGCCAACAAGGTATTTCATGATCCGTTTCACCACCGTTAAATGCGATTCCTTCGGACATGATTGATACCTTGCGCAAAGGAATACGCTAAACATGATATCTGGCCTACTAGCGGTAAGATAGAGAAGGGATCCGATCATACCTCGATACTTTATGACTTCTACTTCCTTACCTTTCTCGTCTTTTTCAAGATGGTCAGACGTGCTCATCGGGGTCGCCATGGCTTTGGCGTTGTCCATTTCAAAACATTTTACGAGCTCCTTGGAATATTTAGATTGGAAAATGAACGTGCCATCTTTCATTTGCTGGACTTGGAGTCCCAAAAAGAATGTGAGCTTGCCCATCATTGACATTTTGAACTCACTTGTCATTAATTTTGAGAATTCCTTGCATAAAGACTCGTTAGTGTTGGAGTTGTGCCCTGATGGCCAACTGTTTATCGTTATTCTATCATGTATACGCAGATGTAATATGTTTACACATCTCATGCTAATGTAAACAAATATTATATTCCTAGATTTATATATATTTAAAAGATGTTTATCAGATAATGTTATTCTGCTGATGAGACTAACATCTTGAAATAAATATTTATCTAAATGTCCATAGTCGAGTATTAACAAGAGTGGGATATCGTTAATGCATGTGAGACTAGTGTGTGTTGGATGTTTGACTTAGTCTCATAGTCAATGACGGTGTGTTCGCATCCGCACATGGGCAGATATTATCTAGAGATAATAGGATGCCGGACTGACCCATCCTAAAGATGTTGCTTGAACTTTTAGTTCATGCTCTAAGCATCTTTAGCGCGACCACGGGTGTAACTATCCTTCGACTTGAAGTATTACGTTTTCTGCATATGTGAACCCGCATACTTTGATGCATTGTCCTAAGCCATATGAAATAAGGATGGTATACAGGCTTTGTTTTGGGTATGCCGCAGCGCGTATTCAGAAATGTAGATTACGTACATAGGATTTGTCACTACTCTTTTTAAAGAGATTAATGTCTTATGGGCCCACTGATAAGTTATGACTGAGGATATTGCATGGCCATGCTGAGATGTTTTTATGACGTCTGTTCCTATCAGTCAGACTTGATAAATCAGTGAATGACTTAATGGATACAAG